AATCAAATAAACAATCTATTACACAACCAACCAATCCGCCAATCAATCTGATTAATCGAATAATTGATTTATCATCAAACTAATCAACCAACCCACGAGCCAACAATGAATGTATCGCTCCATGAGAGCATAAATTCGTGTACGTACAATGGTCAGGAGTCCTGACACCAACGACGAGACGAGATCCTTTCCTGCTCGAGCTGTTACAATTGTGTTGTGTGCACCAGAAACAGCTGAAAGAAAAAAAAAATACTTTCACTTTAGAACTTTATTGATAAAGCAACCAAAAGCACCGTTTAATCTGCTTGAGATCAAATACAATAATAAACGAAAAACGAAAAGATGTTTCACAAAACGCCAGTTTTTCCAATGTGCCTTMAGCAATGCACTGGAAAAAATCGCGCACTTCAAAAGGTTGTAAATTTGATGTAAATATGAAGTAAGTGTCCAAAATGATGTAAATTTGATGTAAAGGGGGAGGGTGAGAGGTCGAAATTAGACAGTTGAAGTTTTGTAGTTATAACTGATGGAGCAAAAAAAATATGGCGGTTTGCGTTCATCTGTTGGACAAAATTACAGTAATGTACCGAATGACTCATAAAAATAGCGACGTTTTTCTATATCTTGGGCAATATCCTTTCTCCAGCAAACAAAAGTGAAAGTCACGTACCTGGTCCGTGGTCAGCGGTGATCATTAGACACATTTCAATGAAGGCGCATGCGTATTTAGGTAACCTGAGAAAAGTGTTATGACGTCATCGTGGAAAATGGCATATGAAATGACGTTAGAGTCAATTTCGTATGAGTGGGAAACGGACGGTACTGTAACTGTAACTGTAATCGTACTGTAAATTCTAATAACCGTGTGGTAATTTCTACCGTACGTTTCCCACTCATACGAAATTGACTCTATAAATACAACATACCTACGTTGAAACCACAGCAGTCCCAGGACACCTCCAACACCAAGCTCATCCTKTCGACAAAATTAAAAGTGCGAAGACTACGGTTACTTGTAATTTCTACAT